AACCTCGTTCAAAAATAATTAAAAGGCATACAATCAACTGTACTTACGAAACTGTATACATTAATTCTAAATTCACAATGGAGAAGCTCTGTGTGTTTCTGCTCACCATTGCATGCTTCCTCAGCAACAATTCATGTGAGATATCATTGCCTCTTTTTTTTTTTTTTTGATTAAGACCTAAGAAGAAGTTCAATCCCAGTCAATTATTCAGTATAGCGTTTTGGAGTATTGTGTACTAAATATGTTGTACTAATGTATTATACTGTTTCGATCAAAGGTGTACGAGGAATCGGTGTGAACTATGGGTTTCTAGGAGACAATCTCCCAACACCAGCTAACGTTGTTGCTCTACTGAAATCAAGAAATATTAACAAAATCAGAATTTTTGAACCGAGAGCGGACGTTCTGACTGCGTTAGGGGGTTCGGGAATAGAAGTTATACTTGGTGTTCGGAATGAAAATCTTCAAGAACTTGCCTCCGATGCAACCGCCGCTGCCCGATGGGTGAACACCAATGTTACGCCGTATAAATCTTCGGTAAACTTCACATGCATAACAGCAGGAAATGAAGTGATTCCAGGAACATTAGCAGGAAATGTACTAGGTGCAATGCAAAACCTAGATGCTGCCCTAAATGCAGCTAACAGTCCCATACCAGTTAGTACAGCAGTTTCAATGCAAATTCTGGCCACATCATTTCCTCCATCGAACGGAAAATTTTCAGATGAAGTAACACCTGTAATGCAAGGTATTACAGGGTTTTTAGCAGCAAAAAAATTCCCTCTTTTACTCAATGCATATCCATTCTTTGCACGTACGGGAGATCCCACTAATGTACCGTTGGACTATGCTCTTTTTGCCGGCAATCCAATCGGAATAAATGACGGTTCGCTCCACTATGTGAACCTGTTCGATGCCATGGTCGATTCGGTGTATTCTGCATTGGAGAAGGTTGGAGGGTCGACGGTCGACATGGTCATATCGGAAACTGGGTGGCCGAGTGCCGGAAACACTGATGCGACCGTGGAGAATGCACAAACTTATGTAAACAATTTGATTTCTCATGTGACATCTGGAAACGGAACGCCTAGGAGACCTGGAAAAGCATTAGAGACTTACATTTTTGCACTGTTCAATGAAAATCTAAAGCCTGCTGGGGTTGAGATGAATTTCGGTCTATATCATCCCGACATGACTGAAGTTTATCACGTCAATTTTCCGGCCTAGGAATGGTTACTGCAAGCAGCTTTGCTTAGACGAGGAAGAAGAAAAGACTTTATTTAGAGTTTCATGGTAGATTAGTTTAATAAATGCATTTTGACACTCATTTAGATGTATACATAAATCACTTTAGCCAAAAGCATGGCACGGAATCACTTGTCACTAGTTAAATTACAAGGTTACCTATTCAAAAGTTAGAATCATTTTAATATCAAGTCTTTTGAATTAAATGGTTTATTGAAATTCCAAACGGGTTTATTCTAATTACAACATGAAACGTTATTTGTTGTATAGAATGTCACACTGATAAATTACAACACTTAGCCCCCGTTTGATCCCCATTACATGAAAATGAAAATGGGGGGAATAGTATTTTTCAGAAAAATGAGTGGTTGAAAAAGAAGGAAAAATTTTCGATTTACGTATAATATTATTTTATGGGAGATTGTGTGGTTGAAAATAAAAAAGAGAAAAATGTAATATAATGTAATTGAATTTAATGGGGATCAAACGGGGTTTTATATTTGTTACAATATCTTTTACGTGATCATTCACAAGGTGAGCCAATTGTTATAGTTATTACCTCAAAACTTTGAAACTTTTAATGAATATCTATAATATATTAATCCCCACATTTGGCTCCCAGTAATTTCTATTTCATCATATTTCATTTTTATCTCTCCTATTTTTAACCATACAATTTTTCATAAAATAATATTACGCATAAATCATAAACTTTTCTTTCTTTTTGAATCACTTATTCTTTAAAAAAATACTATTCTACCCATTTTTATTTTCACAAAAAGATGAGCCAAAAAGGGGCTAAATATCATATCAAGTGAGTATTATTTTTTAAACAATCATTACTTTACTATAATTCAATTATTTTAATAATATTTTACTTTTCATTTTTTAATATGTACTTAATTTATTTAACCATTTAATTATCATCAATATACATATACATTTGAAAATTTTATTTCACGTGTACTTTCATTAATACATTAATTATCTATTATTAATTCCCAATTAATTAACATTCACATTCATCTTCATTAATGCATTTAAGTGTTATTAATTCTAATTATAAATTAATTAAAATTTTACATTCAAGAATGCATTTCATAATTCACGCCCATATATGCCAATTAACATTCAGTTTTACTTAATTGAAAATTAAATAAATAATTTAACATTCATTATCACGTATATATTTCTTGATATTAATTCTAAATTAATTAACATTGACGCACATTCAGATGCTACTTTTTAAAAATGACTTTCCAACCTCAGAATTCCAGAGACAGATGAAACAGTCCACATTTAGATTTACATCCCGATTACGGATTTTAAGAAGCAAGCATTCATAGGAAGACTTGAATTAGCCTCGACTCTTAACATTCTCCCACTGCAATGAGGATTAAGATTTCATAACCGTCTCAGAAAAGGATGGCCCGGAACTGCCTATGCTGCTGAAATGTTTCTTTGACTGCGAGTTCCAGAAATTCTTAGTACTTATCGGTTCTTAAAAAAAAACACCTGCACGCTAGAAAGCGAGGGGATGAAGAGTTGTTAATACATAGATACTAAAATCAAATGACAATGAGTGGACATACAACTTAAATCCTGTTTTTCCATCTCAACATGCTCAATAACACTGGTAGCAAGGCCAAAACACAAGGCAACAGAAGACATTCCGCACTATAACTCTCAGTCAAGAACTGGTGGTTACATCTAAACCAATAAGCATAATTTGGAACATAAAGTCACGTAAAATTGTGAAAAACATAAAAGAAACAAAACCTCAACACATCGACATTGCAGTAAGTGTAAAATATAAACATCAAAAAAATTTGAAATATGAGTGACCTATGGTTAATATAGCTTCTTTTTCTTTTTTTTTTGGCCCTTTTGACTGGTTAGTTTGGGCAAGGTTTATTTTACTCCTCTTGAGGCAATTTTTCCTAGGTGAATAAAC